TTCTCTTTACTTTCTGATGTTGATTTGAATAGTTTCTCCTGTTCTCCTAGTTAGTCCAACTCAGTGTTTGTCATTTTTCATGTTTCAAAAGGAAGAAAAATCAGTGATTTGTTGATATCTCTAGTGATTTAGTTCTGATGTCATTTATCTCTCTCCTTGGCCTTAAAGGCTCATGAACGCACTATGAGAACTAGACTGAGCTGTTGCTTTTAATCCCACATTCTTCTCAGACTCAGCGAAACCTGGGAGTGCGTCTCCACAGTGGACCACAGAGCTGATGTAGCCCCCACTGCATGACTGGGCTGAGACTCTCGGAGCACAAGCAGGGAGGTGTGAGGTGAGGGGGCTTTGTCTCCCAGGAACACACCTCTTCTCCTTCCTCATACCCAGATTCAGTCATGTCCACCAGGCTGGGGAATCACTTAATTTCCCTTTGATGTAGGGATGGAGGCCCAGGAAGGAGACTTGTCAAACCTTGGTTCTGCAGATGCTCTCTTGGAGAATGTGCTGATTTCTTCCCCTCTGTCATATGTCTGCCACCTGATAACTCCCCTATTCCACCACACCCCAAACGGAGTCTTCGTGGCCACAGCCCCACACCCTGCAATGTGGCACCTGCTGCTTGGGCTTCTGGAGAGCACCCCTGCCCTGGTTAATCCCTGCCCCTGGTCTGCCCTCTAGTCCCTGCACAGGCCCCAGAGTGACTTCTAATCCATGTTGCACCCACATGGGGTCTGACCTTAAATCCCTCTTCACTCTCTCTTTGATTCCGAGTGATGACTTTCGTTCTAACAGCCCTTTGGCATCTTACCTGGACTCACGCACAGGAAATGGTTAACTCAGGAGGCCTGGGTCGTCCAAACCACATGCATTCCTGAAAAAGTCCATTCTAGTAACTCAACCCTGGTCAGCTACTGAGACATGAGTTCTGATCCCTTGGCATCCTGCTCCTGGTAATAGCATTTTTACACCAACATTTTTAAGGTGTGATTTATATGGAAATACTCTACAATATTTAACTTCTGGAACTGAATGAGTTTGGGTGTATGTGTACACCTAACCAACATCAGGACATAAATATATTCATTGCTCTGAAGGTTTCCTCCTATACCCGCTAATATTATCATATTACTGTTATCATCGTTTATCTTGTTTTTCTATTTGTGTGGGAGGTGAATACACTGTAGTACTTGATCACACAGTGTTCATGGCGAATGCCATTCATGCCCCAGGGGCTGCTGTCTGAGCGGTGGAGGTCAGTTGTGCAGGTTCTGCGACACCCGGGACTGACCTCAGTGAGCAGCACTGGCCACCAAGGCCCAGGTGAGCTTCCCTGAGGACAACCCCTCACACCTGTCATATACATCACTGCTGGGAGAATTCAAGGTGCACAGGAGAGTAAACTGGGAGAGCACACCTGAGCACTGGCACCTGTTTTCTCAGGGAGTTATACCTGTGCCTCTCCTAACTTTAATTCATATCATTTTCTGTAATAAACTGACCAAGAGTATAATATGTTACTCTAAGACCTGCATTTATATTGGTTATAGAGGATGAGGGTCGTCTTGGAAGACTCAATATAACTACACCAGAGTGGATTTCCCAGAAGAACCCTGCCTGGTTGACACACAGCTAAAGCATCGCTTAGCAAAGCGAAGGACGACAAGCTTGCGGGGCGGTGGGGGGGCGATTGAAACTCTGATGCCTGGATGCTCACACAGTCACCTACTGCGAGGCAGCACGTGAGCTCCAATAAGTCGTGGAGGTAAAAGCTATCAGTGGATGTATGAATGGTAGATCAACACTGTAGGAGTTTATTTCCCAAATACAAAGACAATGTAGAGATAATCGAAAATAATCTAAATATACAATCTGTCTATGTACTAATAATAACTGAAATGAAAGCAAAATAGTTGCTCTCTGTCCTGCCCTGTGCACACTGAGCTGAGGCTACAAGGTTCAGATCCACCATCAAGATGAACAATTGTCCTGGAGAAAACTGCTCTGGCCCACAGTGTGAAAGAAGGTTGTCCATGTGCAGGGCAGGGGAGGGAAAACATTAAAGTTCTTAATCCAGGGAGTGCATGGAAGAGTCACATCATTTTGTGATGTGATTCATGTCATTAATTGACCTCACCAGGTTACCGAGCAATATTCACTAGGGGACTGCGGGGTGATGAGCATGGCAGAGTCTCCT